TCGATGCACAAGTTAAGCAGTGTTATTGCTGTGATACACACTTTTGGAACACGTTAATAACATAAAACACACAGCTATCGCACGGTATAAGGCAGGGGCGTTGGACTTTCGAACACCATGATCTTGAATTCTTGAAAGAACTTAACCATTTTTATTGTCCAACTTCATGAAGCAAATTCCCTCGTGGAATCCAGCTGCGTGCCCGTGCTCACAAAAGCTCGCCACTTTCACTGCCCTCAGTCATATGTTTTCAGTCCACACATTCGTATCCTTTTAATTTAAAATTCATATTAATATTATCCTCCTATTTACGCCTACATCTTCTAAGTTTTCTATTCCCTTCATTTGTCTCCACTGAGATTTGTAGTGTGCATTTTTTATCTCTCACATGCATTCTACACTCCCCTCCTATTTCGTCATCCTAATAATTCTGTATAAATTTGGCCTGCAATATGTGATGTTCGTCATTTTATATCTCTCTCGAGCCTTATTTCCTTTCTGCCTCATAGGTTCAAATGTTCTCTTCAGTATCCTATTTTCGAATATTCTCACCATATGTTTGTTCTTCAAGACGAGAGATCAAATTTGAAGCTTTTATAACAAGAAGCAAAATTATAGTTTTCAACTATGAGACGGGAAAATAAAAGATTTCGAATTTAATCGTAAAAAGTACTTCCGACCCTGATGCGGTCTTGTTCTCTAAGCGAATATAATTTCAGTTTGTTATTGTTGTTCGCATATGCGCATTTAATCTTTTGTAAACTGATAGTGCAGGAATTATAATTCTCAGATAAATATTTGTAACACGTGTGTTTATAAAACCAAGTAAAGACGAAGCAATAAGTACATAGAGCATTTGTCGAGGCTCATAATTGTTACGTACCTAATAAATATGTACTTCATTTTTTCAAATGTTGGTGAGAATTGCGAAATTCAACATTTAAATAACAGCTACCTCAGCGATCAATTTGTTTATATATATATATATATAATTATTTGAAGTACCTTTCATTTAGAAATTTTATCATTATTGCCACATATTAAAATATATAAGCAGTGTTAACTTATCCATAATCTGCATCTGTATGTGCTACCTAAAACAAATATTCCACGCGATAGCTCTGGTAAGTAGAGTATATTGATCCTTAGTCACCATAATAAAATTCTCAGTAATATGATAAATATTTTAAATGTGTTATTATGTTGGCATATTACACAAATCTTGTGTATATTTTTAATCACATCATTCAAAATTAAGTAACTTACTTATAACTATTAAATTCAGTGGCTGTAGTTTGTTAAATTAATTTAGTGGAAAAGAATGTCCACTGATAGGCTTATGTGAGTTTCAGTGTGTATTGTTTGGGGTTCAAATATATAGAAGGTCACATATTCCTCGTGTGTACAACATAATGATGAAACTTAACAGTAGTTGCTTGAGAAAGTAATAATTACAATTCCTTTCCTCGTCATCAACGCTAATAATACTGCACTTCAATCCAGATACATTATTTCTTCACTCTGAAGTGATTAGACTAATGGCTTCTCTTATTCGACCTCACATGAAAATTATCATTTGCGACCTCCTCCTTCCTCTAGCTTACGTTTGTAATTCCCTCCCTTGTTTTATTACTCGCACGCAACGTTCTTTCCTGTTTTTTATCTTCTTCTTCTTCTAACCCTTTCTCCCGTTCCCCTGAACCTTGTGCAACCCCTCTACTTCTTTTCAAGTGACCTTAATTTCCAACGTGTCTAAAATGTCAACACCCTGTCTCTCTCGTCATTACAATTTGATTCGTTGGTGTTCCCCTTGTGGATACTGTATAGCGCGCCTTACCTTATTTGCTCTTTAATGAAGGCTTTCTGCGTAGCCCGGCCAGCAGCGAACAGAAAGTGCTAAGCGACATACGTAGAACGTGGAATACCTTTTCCCCATCCACAAACAGCGGTGCATTGAAAGCATTAGGAACAGGAGACCTTGCTTTTATCATAAATCGATATGTACCTCCTGTGTCTTTCCATTCTGAGCAATGCTTTTGCATTAGGAATGAAATTACAGGTTTTAAAGTAAGGTTAAGTGCACATTCATGCTTGAATGTTCGCGATGGCAGTTAAAATTATGGCTTTTCACATAGACTATAAATCATAACATATTTGTCAGTAAACATTTCTTGTGTACTTATTATCATATTTAATGTCAATTCTGATTCCACTGAAGTGATCGCTAGTTGGAAATTCAAAAACGTGTATGTTTTCCGTACTTATCTAAATGTTTTACCTTCTACTACAAAAAGGAAACACGATTGCTTTCATAAATATTAGATCTTTATTTCTTGAGGTCAACCCTTATAGATATTTACAGCCATAATCAAATAATGTCTCTTAATTCACAAATCTTTTGCAAAGTAAAAAATGTTCAAAGAATCGTTATGAAAACTGAAAAACTTTTGGGGAAACAATATTAAAAAGGACCCATATTGATTTATTTTATAGATTTTCGCTTTCTCTCGAGATTTCTGTCTCGTTCTGTGGAATATTGGATTCTATTGTAGGGGGTTGTCTTACTTGGTTAACGAAATGACTCATGTCTTAATTCCATTAATTTCTTTAAAATTAGTCAAGTCCATATTTTAATAAGTCAGTATTTAAAAACAAAGTTTGAAAGACATTGGCGTAGGACCGAGATGAGATGACCCGAAATTGTAATCAGCTCATATCAGTTAAAAATTTAAACTTTCATCAATGTAATTTTAGCTTTCGAATTATATAGTTGTAACTTTATAATTATAGTACTCTGAGTAATGTAAACTATTTACTCGTAGACTAGAATGGCTTCATGTCATATTCTACTTATTTTTTTATTTATTTCTTTGTTAGCGTTCAGTCCAAAAGGGAAAAATATATAGATATTTCGGAAAAACGTATAACTGGCGTTTTCCACTGGCTAGCTGAGCCAGATAAATCCTGCATATAAGCTTAATTCATGTTTCCCTGCGATCCACTTTAATACCTTTTCTGACCTACTCCTTCTTCTGAATATTCTGTATTCTTCAGGTTTCCCAATAAAAATTTTATAAGAATTTCTCATCTCTCTCATGCTCGCTACGTATCCCACCCGCTTCATCCTCCTTATGGTGAAATAAGAAAATCCTTGGAGAATTTAGGGAGTTTCTGAAATGTTACTTTCCGTTTACATGAATTAGAAATTATTAGTTTTCAGTCATTCTCTCTTTAATAGTGACTGAATCTAAACTGATTTTACTCCGAGACAAGCCAAATGTCGTAGAAGGAACCCCTTAACTGAGGACGGAGGTTGTGATACGATGGTGCTTGGTCAGAGTTATCGCACACCTCGTGGGGCGGTGACAGACGAGTACGGAGCAGTGGTGGAATAATTATTATAATCCGTGGCGTAACAGCCCTCTGAGAGCCAAAGCCGACTAGCTGGCTGCTGGCCTCACGTTCACATGCTTAAGCAGAGGTGAACGATCATCCAACCAGATATAGGGTGACGTGTGGTCAGCACGACGAAACCCCAGCCATTGCTAGCTTTCCTGACCGGATTACGCTACCCGTTGTAGCTCCCCAATTTCCTCACGATGCTGGGTTGGTACTGGTCCCATACACTGATCGAAAATCTCATGAGAAAATTTCTTCTCCCCCGAGACTCGAACCAGCGCGCATTCCGTATCCCCGGTCCGAAGCATGATGCCTCAGATCGCGCGGCTACGGCGCGGGACGGAATAATTATTAGCAGGGTAAAAACGAAGAACTCGGAAAAATACCTGCTAGTGCCACTTCGCCCACCAGAAGCTTACTTCATATCACTCGAAACTGAAAGCAGGTGTGCTGGATGAGAAGTCTACTTCTAGCCTCCTGGTCTATACCACGGCCTTAAGAGAGTGATTGAAGTTAGTAAATTTAATTGTCGTCTTGGAAGGAAGGATGTCAGTAAGATACCTTACAATACGGTTCGTTGTTAATCTTGGTCGTTTCAAACATCAAGTAATAGAGAAAAATTAGTATTTAGAGAATCGAAATTTCTTGGACAATAAACATTTTGTGAAATTGTAAAATATGTTTTCTTCTTTTGGTGCTGATAAATTTCTGTTGCTGAAAGAAACATAGATGTTGCTAAATCAGGGACCTTTATCGTATTTAAGTCAACGTCTGTGTGGTATTTGGCGAGAAATGCTACCCTAACACATACAGTAAGTTTTGCTTTCAGGGCCTGAAAGGGTGCGGGTGAGGAAACCCTGCAGGTCAAGGAATAAAGGAACTAAAAATCGTGTCTACTGAAATGCAGAAGAATATATCTTTGCTTGTGGTACTAGCATACTTAGGTCCATTGATAGAAATTAGCTCTTTTTAACGGACGCCACGGATTATGTTTCCTGCACTACACCTGAAAACGAGGACAGATCCAGTTCTCGAAACGTTACGTGTTTTAGGACAAGGTCCAAAAGCTCAACTATCCAGAACTTCATAGGCAGCTTGTGTTTTACAGCTGCGTGATTTAATGCACTGAAGTATTTGTCGTCACCATGTCTATTGTTGAATTTAAACTTGGATAATAATACAAAAGTACACATCAGGCAATTTAAATGCGATGCCCAAGAACTCTGTCAGGTGAAGTGGCAAAAGATTGGAAAATATATTGATAGGTGGATGGATTGATTGATAATTTATACAAAATCTGCTACATAAATAATATTAGCTGTGATTAGGACCTGCAAAAATACCTAAAATATTTATAACTTAAGCGAAATGGAAAAAGAGACAGTTCCTGTCTAAGATTATAAGGTTCCTGTGGCAGTGAAGATGTTGACTGTAGTCTTCTTGGTTCCAAAACCGTGAGGTTTAAGATGACTGATCCTCAAAGATGGAGGAATATGATGGTCTTAAACGTTGGTAATGACCTGTGAGTTTACATAACGTCATAGCCTGAAGATAGAGGCGATACGATCCTCCGACACCCTTGTGTACATCCACAAGACTACATGGCGTCACAAGGCAGGAAACCACACTGGTAAGCTACAATCAATAGAGAAATTGACTGTGGTACAAAAGGCAATGTTTTGTAAATGAAAAGGGAGACAAATAATTTTTTTCATTGTGAAAGATCTTTATGTTTAGGCTGGTTAAACTTGTGTAGCGGGTTTGGCCTAGGCGTACTTTCTACAGAAAATGAAAATTGCTGTTTAAAATAATATTAGGCAGCTGAACTGGCAATAAAAATTTCATATTTCTTTTTTAATCAAGTCCTTGCGACGAGCTTTAGGTCGTTTTTTAATGACTCCGGGGATAGAACCGCCTGGAACACGTGGCAGGAGTCCGTCATTTGTCACATTTTTCCTCTGGAAACGTTCAGAATAATCCAATAATTAATTCTGCATTCTGGATTACTAATTAAACTGAGATTTTCTGCTTTCATAATATATAAAAATAATCGATGTATCGATTTAATGGATTGTCTACAAGTCGGGTTTTCCATTCCGTCAGAAGATTTAATCAAGTCGTTGTTCGCAGTAACAAACCGGAACATCTGTAACTGTCATTTAGATGAGAAGGCAAGACGCGGGCGAAAAGCTGGTACAAGGAAGGGGACGAAGCGAAATGTGGGAGCCTCATATCCGGATTACAAATTCAGAAACATGAAGCAAATTGCTCACACACACATCTGACGTTACAGAAAACGGAAGACGCACTGAAACCTAGTCATTATTTAATCACAATAATTAAATTGAAAAAATGTCACCTTTAGAAAGTTGTGGGTTAGATACATAAGAATGAACACAGCGGAAGCTGCAATTTTAACACAATGTGTAGAAAGATAACTGCGCTAATTCTCACAAAACCACTAATGAAATGCCGTCTGATTACCCGTTTCAGTTTTATTTTCAGGTTAAACCTCGTTTCGCCATGATAATAATTCTCGAAGTCAGTCTTTAAGATACGTTGGCATTGATTGAAGAGAGAAATATTATTCTCATGTGTGACTTAATCAGAAGTTAAGGGGTGTTATTCTTTTATGATGTTCAATGATACGTATCGAATTATCAGGCCTATGATAATATTCGGGCAAGAGATATTGATATGAAACGTAAGCATTTGTCGAATTTCTTCAAGCTAACATTCCATCGCACCTAGACTGAAATATGCAGACAGAGAAATTCAGTTGCAACAACAGCAACCCGAATGTTATAACCCCACACAGAATTTTGCAACAGACAGCAGTTGTAGTTTGCTTCTCTCTCTTGCTTCGTTTCTCCAGCATTCACCTTCCGTCAACAGCAATATATTGCTAAACAAGGCTCCGGGCCGCCTCCTCCTGCCTGCATGCGCACACGGGAAGTTATTAGCTAGCGGTTCCAGACGTCCAGATTAATTCTCGTGATTAAATTTCATAGAGCACCGAGTAGTAGGCAACCAGGCAAGCAGAATGGCAGTCAGGCAGGCTGAGGTACGGTTTCTACAGTCTTTGACAACCACAGATAATTTTCGGTAAACTTGTTCGGATATAGTATCTGGTCTCAGTATAATTTCTTTCAAAAGTAGAAGTTGCAGCTTGAATATTGGGTAGGCGGTCAGGATGAAGCATGGTTCAGTCTGCGAGTAGACGTCTGTAACTTTGGAGTTCCATGGGACGAAGTCATTGGACATTCTTAATGTGTGTCTTGTAATTGATTGGGTAAAAGTCAGGAACTCTGGCAAATTCTTAGTAGAATATTGAATCCTTTGATGATTCTTTAAAGGTTTGTGACAGTACGTATTTTTTTCTCTATTGAATTCGATATTCTTCATCTTCTTGGGTATACTTGACATCATGGCATTTCTGAATAAGCATGTTATAGATTAACCTCTCATAATTTGAAAATAAAATCTTAGGCAATGAAAAGTTTAAAATAATTAATTACATTTTTTAATTGTAATGTCTGAAGAATATTTATCATTGTGATGTTCACAACAGCCTAATAGTGGATCTTCTTCTTTCAAGTCCGGAATTCTCTTTGACATTTTGTGACATGCTAATTTATGCTGCTGTCAAACCGCAAACTGGAAGACCATACCTTGTCGGCTGTTCGACTTGTTATTATTGTCGTTAGTGACCTTTCATAGTATTTCTAAGCACTTACATCAATTATTATAATTGTACTTTAATATGGATTCAAAGGAAAGGAGTTGTTTTGAACCCTGTAGAAAGTTACAAGTTGGTGTTTAGTGTTTTTCGTAAAGAATACCAACAGGAGAGCTATGAAAACATTCAGGACATCGAAATTTTGTATGTTGAAAAGTTTTTGTTACGTTTGTAGTTTTTTACGAGAGAGGACAGAAATATTTCAAAGAGCACGTGAGAAGTGTGATTCGTGTAGTAACTTTGTGTGTAAAATGTTCATAATGATTGCTAGATACACATCAACTTGTGCTAAGAATTCTTTTAAGAACTACGTAGCTTAATGCTTCGTAATTTGATAAAACAATACTCTAAGGGCGTTACTTATTATTACTTTCGAATTGTTTTATATTCCTGTGTGATTTGTAATGAGTAACATGTTACTTTAATGCATAATGTAAATGCTTTAGCATAGTTTATTAGTTTATACCACAGGAATTCATATAACATTTCTGTACGCGAATTTGAAAGACAAAATTTTAATACATTACATAAGTTAATAGGCTTATTTTATATTAAAAATACCTATGGTATAATGGTTTGAGATCCCCTTTATATGTTTCTCATTCTCTTCTAAAAACGCCCCCTCCCATCCCGCATCAACCCACTGCTCTGGTTACATTTACCACAGTACACTTGCACCTAAGACTACAACTTGGCGGCAGGCTCGTATCGATATAGATTACTGTAGACTTTACGAACAGACATGCACTGTACAATAGGGAATAAATATATATACTTCTTGGTTGCAAAAATGCCGGGGCGTGCTATGATGTTCTGAGCCTCTTTCAATAACAATAAAATGTTTCTCGAACATCCGAATATATAAAAAGCCATATCATGGTGATTTTCATTTGTCGGCAGCGTAAAATGACTTGTCGATTCAAACTGCTCCTTTTCATTTTTCCTGTATGTCGCCTCCATGCTGCACACAGCGATGTGGCACGAGGCATATCTCTCCGAGAAACTTTTTCAAAAGTTGCGTTAAAGGAGAGAGAAGGAAAGAATGAGCCTCTCTGTATGTATTTTTATCTCTTCCCTCTTGAGGCAAAATATTAATGAACGCAATCTGTGCCCATTTCAGGTCAAATGCGGCTTCTTCAACTTCATCTTCTACCATTTCTTCTTCTTCGTCTTCTGATTCCCCCACCCCCGCTACAACTGCTGGGTCTACAACACTGCATCTGAAGAAACGGAAATTGGAAGTCGCTACTCCAGAAACGAGCAGTAAAGTTGGAGGAGGCAAAGGAAAGGTACAGCAGCCTCATCAGTCCAAAAAGAACTCCCAACCGCAACAGAAGAAAGAAGAAGTTATGCTGGAAGCTGCTGCTGGCGGAGGAAGTAAGGAATGTGAAGGTGCTGGGGCGGCAGCTAAGCGGAGGAGGAAAACGTTACGATGCAGTGGTGAGAGTACGGACGAGGCAGAGGCCAAAGCTGCAGAAGCAGACTCCAGTTTTGGACAGAAAACACCTGTCGTTCTGCCTCAGAAGAAGCGCGCTTTACCATCTAGTAGCGGTGCCTCGCCTGTTCGCAGTCCAGCGAGGAAGTCTGCCAAGGCAGTTACTTCTTCCAACGCTGCAGCATCAGACGAGGCGGTAGACGACGAAACCCTGATAAGAGAGACTGAAGCAGCTTTGAAAAGTCTCTCAGGAAGTTGGCCTGGACCTCGTAGTTCTTTTTACAACCGTGGTATAACAGAGCACGAAGAGCGCTTTGAGTCGCCAACTTTCGAAAATCTTTTTGAAGAGAAGAAAATTAATAACAAAATGTCACCGTCCTCATCTTCATCTTCGTCGTCCGGTTGCAGCGAATCCTCGTCGTGTTCCCTCAAGGATGTCATAACACTTCGCGGTCAGCAGCCCGACGGTAAAAGTTCCCGAACAGCAACAGACGGGAAAACACCAGGAGGAATGGCGGCTAACACAACAGGTTCCAGCAATCAACAGGTTAAACAACAGTCTGATGGCAGCAGTAGGTCATCATCTTCATCAGCAACGAAGTCACACTGCAAAACAAGACCCCAGGATCGAGATGTATCTCAGCAACAATCTGCTTATCAAGAGGGGAATGATTTGGAGAATCTGCTGAAGATTGAGAACGAGTGTGCTACTATACAGTCTCAAGTCGGGAGCAGTGTATCTCATGCACAAGTACAGGACACAAGAAGAAGTAGCGACAGTAAAGGCATAAAAGACAAGCATTTGTTGCCCGCAGTAAATTCCTCATCAGATGCAACACCTTCCTCTAGTAGAGGAATCGAATATGCGGCAACTTCAAGGTATGAACCAGACTTCAACGAGTTGGTCGATGATTCCTCCAACGAGCTTGAGATTGACATGTCCGACCCATCAGGAGACAAGGAGGACGACGATGACTCGGACCGCAGCAACAAGACAGAAGACAGGCAAAAACGAAAGGAAGACAACGTAAATCTGAAAGATGTAGCTGCCATTTCGAGTAGCGACCAACAGACTTCGTCATCTTTCCAAGATCGCCAGAATGTGTTCGGTGCTGCATCTCAACAACAGCGACAGTTTCAGCCGAACAAACCTTTATGCACCAGTGCCACAGTGACCGGCACGATGTTATTAACTACATCCACATCCTCCCCTTCACCTTCTTCATCCGTGTCCTTCTCCGCCACTTCCGCATTCCGAGCTATCAACAGCAGCCAGTCATCGAAAGACACAGCGGTGTCACTTCGGTTACCTGCAGCGCCATCTTCTAGCATAGATCTTCAGGGTTCAGTCGGAGGAGCGATACCACCAATAGGACCCTTTCCTGCTTCGGCAACATTTGTTGGATATCCAGGATCTGTCGGTCTGCAGGGTCATGATCCTGAAGGTGGGGCTGGTCATCCACATTCTGTAACGTCATTGGACGAGAAGCACACTGCAGCAGCCGTATGTCTTCTTCAGCTGAAGACAAACACCAAGGAAGAAAATGGCGAAAAAGGACAGGAACTTGCTGCAAACGAAACAACGTCGCTTCCTGGAGCAAAGACGTCTTCGGTATCGGTTGCGTCACCAGACGCAACTTCCTCCAAACAGTACACCATCTTGCAGCCGGCTGGGGCAGGATCGCGGGCTGCCACAGCTATTCAGGATGTGAATCGGGAAGGTGTGCTCAGCGTGTCAGCAGTCAGTAGTAGCAGCAGTAGCAGCGCTTGCAGTAGTGGAGGCGTCCCTGTGGCGCCGCTACACCATCAGCAGTCTGTTGCTATCAGTACAGCTGCCGGCTCTGACACCATCGGCACGGCCAAAATGACCCCCGAGAGGAGTTGCTCTTCTGATATCAACCGCTCTGGACCACTGTCTCCATCAGGCCTCAACAGGGGTGAGTGCAAAATTTAACTCTTGCCACTAAAGATTGGGTTTGTCGTAAATGGTGTCATACGCGACGACTGTACAGAAAACGCCTATGTGTTACTTAAATTTCCTGTGTTAGGATTCCTTAGAAATTAATTAGAATAAACGGTTTGGTCAAGGAAATCGACCTCAGGTTTTCTGTAATGCGGCCAAGTGATTTGCACTCTTGCTTCGGAAACCAGTGGTTCGAGCCCCAAACCGGAGATCGGCTACACTGACTGAGATGGTCTTCTTAATTTTCCTCGCTCATCCCATGCATAGGATGTTAAATTAGGCTGCAACTGCATTCTTCTACGCCTCTCTGCCAATTAATTATTCATTAATCGCATCATTATGTAAACCGCACATAAAGAGAACAAAATGAGATTATTTACGTGGAAAGGGAACCATTCTAGGTATGAGTAATGATTTCACTATTGCAAATACATCCAAGAAATGCATAAATTTATTTCCTTTTCGACTAAATTAAAAATTTTCTCAATCAAAATATTTTAATTCTGAATCATAGGAAATTACCCTAGAATACAGTAGAATTAATTACTATGGCTGTCAAACGTACAGAGTGTCCAACTTAACTTGGAACTCTCCACGACAGAGTACTGCAGCAGAACCAAGCGACCTGCCAGGAAATAATTTAGTCACACCGTAAAACAGTCGTCGCATGCTGGTAGGTGGGTTCCGAGTTATTAGTATTCCAGCCTCTGTCTCAGCAGTGGTCTTGGAACTTATTCATTACCCTTAGTACAAATAATGTACGTTTATTTCAGCAATAAGCATTATCAAGAATCTTCGTAGTAGGACATCTGAGGCAGTATGTAAGCTTTCCTGTTTAGAAATTATAGAATTCTCTGATCTCAGACATGCCTCTTCAGTTTTATTATAAATTATAGAAGTAAATTCAAATGCCTTATTTAAAATTAAAAATTGTAAGTATACTAATTTAATAAATATTTTTATGGAGGAAAATGATTTCCTGACACGCAGCTATTTTTACATACTTATTGCTACTTATATAAATTTTAACGACGTTATGACGATGATTTCGAATGGTGGGCCAGGAAGTTAGCGATCGTTGCCTTTAAGACAGTATAGTGATGACCACAGACTACTACTTTTTATCACCCCTTTGTGTTCGTAAGAATACATTCTTAACGTAATGAGCTCTTATGCCTGTTTGTATGTAACCTTTCCTTTTGACAATGCCTATCGTCTAGGTTGTTTCGCTGTGTAGTCTGGTAGGTGTTTACCGATGTTTCACAGGTTCTTGCTGCCTCCAAGATCAGGGCGATCATCACCCTGAAATGTCGGTCACTTCTACCAGACTACGCGGCATAACAACCAAGAAGACAGCTATTATCAGACTCACCACCGTGAAAACATCAAATCCTACTTAATCTTTCCTTCCAATCACTTATGTAAAATTGTTTCTTCTATTCACAACTTCAACACTTTCTCTTACGTTCTAACGTCGCTATTTGTAGGCATATGTATAAGAGAAATATAAAAGAACACACGTGGTGTTAGCCTGACTGCCAGATTTGCCTCCGCTTAATCATTGAGGTCAGAGGTGAGGCGCTTGAGTTAGGTTTTTGGACTGCACGAAGCACGCGAACGTAAATGACGTGGAGCTTTCGAAAGAAAATTCATGATATTAACTGCGAATATGGAGGGATGACTAATAAGTATCATTTGGTGAATCTAATGTAGCTGTATGTTGTTAAAACAAATATAAAGTTTACTCGAACGTTTGATGCCTGTTTAATGACCTGTGGAAGATAACAGACGCTGTACAAAAATATGGAAGTCAGTTGATATAGGTAAATCAATACGGTATGATATCTGAACTATGCATATGTTCTTGTGACAAAATTTCTTTTATGAATTCCAAAGACGTAAGAAATCGGAACTATGTCCGTTATATAAAATGCTGAAAGACGTTCTAGTTGGTTATTATTTATTATTATTAAGTGTTCTGTCTTACGACAGGTCCATTGCTCTGCCCAAAAAGAGCTCTCCAGTTGTCCCTATTCTCGGCTTCTCGCTTTAATTCCTGGAACGTCATCTTCTTTCCATGTTTAAGGCCGTCGGTTAGCTATCAGGAAGAAAGAAAGAAATGTAAATATTTAAGTAATTTCTGTATTACTTGTAGAAGCAATAGATTTATTGTGTTATTTAAATTACTTAATAAGTTTTAATTAAAAGTAAAACTGTAATTGGAATATAACCTACCCTTAATATGAATTGAAACAACTCACAATTTCTAAGGCTGATTATATTTAGATATTAAACAATTTAAAATCTGTAAACGAATGAAGAGGTTCTCTATCGATATAAAAGTATCCTACATAAGTATGAAATTCTGTATAGGTTGACATTCTTAACAGCAATAAGATAATTTGACTTTTTTATATTCGTGTAGAAAAAAGAATCTCGGGTCTGCGTATTTTGTTGCAGAATTTTGATGTTACGTACGTACAGTTGGAACAAGAACTTAAATTTTACACAACCTGTCACTAAGTGTTCCAGGTCCCTTTCTTTATCCACGTAAAGTTAATTAGGCAAGATGAAATATTTTTATAACTGGTGCCGAATGTAATTTGTCATTTCTGGATATTCTGAATGATCTGAGATTTTTGCGATGTTTGAGCAGAGAGTCTTATTTCTCTTTCCGAGGTAGTCTTTTATGTGTGTGGGTTGATGTGTACCCAAGATTACTGTTGCCCCCAAGCAGTAAGAGAGTAGCAGCTCTCTGAAAGTCAATATTACCCGATGTTTTACGTAGCGCCTTCAAACATTTGCTATGATAACAGAGGTAGCTGCGGAGAGGTGAAGAGAGGCTGTCTCTCAAGCCATGTCGTATTCAGCTTTCAGTTTTATATCACGTCCTAATACAAGAACACTTCCGGTTCACTTGCGTTGCTTAATCTCTTCTAGTGATTCAGACGTCTAAGAAAACAAGTTTAGCTTTGCTTCTAATTAGGCCTATTATAAATATTTTCGCCGTTTGTTTTTCTTATTAGTTAATGAATTACACAAAACGAGCACAGTAATTTAAAATTGTACGCCAAATATATCTTAGTCTGGTTAAGGTAAATTAATAAATCTTGGCAAATAATCAACTGTGTTTAGTAAAGTTACTTCTTGGTAAGATGAGTCGAACGTACCATACGTTTTGGCGTGAGATTTTTCTATATTGCTTCTTCATTTCGTCTCCATACGCCGATTCCTTTTTCAAGATGTTGAACATTATTTAATAATAGGATAATCTATTGTATATTTTATTGCTTTAAATACAATATTAATATTTCAGTACAACTTGCTACCCGCATAACTTTAATGACTGAATTCTCGTACATTTCCTGACCTGTGTTGGCATCTACAAAATCTTACAATTTACCAATATGGAAGCACGGTTACCTCATATTCTACACTTATTCACATGAAAAATGATCTCCTTTAAGCATTAAGCCATTTTATCCAAGTGCAAATTACCTTATTTCCAATTTTGGTTTAAGTTCTGTTAAGTGGCGCAAACAGGGCAAAATAATAATAATTATTCCACATAATAAGTAATTTAGCGAAATTAGTTTATTTTCAGCTAAAAATAATGTAAAATTTCTTGAAATTCTGAAAACTTTCATATTGTCATGTTTTTCGGAAAGTAACACTCTAAGAACAAAAGTAAGACCAATTCTGCTAAAATGTGTCTTATTTGTAGTAAAAGCGGAATGTTAGATATTCCGCGGGTTGGGAAAGGAACTTAACAGATCGTATAATTACTATTAATTATTTATTCCAAGTTTATTTTCTCACAAAGAACGAATTTTGAACATTTATTTCTAAATAAGTGTTTTAAAGCTAGATTCCGCGAAGCCTGGGTACTCAAATCTGAATCATGTTTTAACTTCACCCGGAAAACAATTAATTTAATTGTTTATTAGGTGTGGCAACAATTTAAAACTGGTATTTCAAGTGTTTTACTTTCGCTTTCACAGAGGTATAATTAACTCGACCTCTGATAAATCCCCCTGAAACTTGAAAGGTTACCGATGTATTATAATGGATATCATAATATTTCTCATTCCCTACAGGCTAATTCAAAGATATTCACATAAATATGCCATCATCACTTCCATTTCATTTCTTTCCATAGTACCGCATTCGAACTAAATAACCTTTGGGGATGATACAACGCCATTAAATAAAGTATGAAAAATGCACTTTTAGTTCGTATGTAAAAGGTAGGGTAGGAAAAGTTCGATTAGTGTCCCAGATTGCCATAAAAGTATCGGGTCTCAAAGGAAAAGGTCGAAAGTCAATAAGTCAGTGTCTTAAACTTCATTTTAAATCAAGGGCTGATTAAATGTTGAATATGTAGGAAATTAAGTTTATTTTAGTTTTTATTAAGGCATACGGTTTACTTTCGTATATTTCAGCATTGATTTATTGTGAATACTTGTCAAAATCCAGAGATGGAGTTTAAACCTTGAATTATAAATTTGTAAATGTCTCACGTTTCACTGTTTGCCCGCAGAGGACGAGCTCGCAGACCATTAAAAGCCTCGTTTGTGTACCGTGTCTTTCCCTGGTAAAATACACGAGATTAGAAAAACAAACCTGTACTCAAGCTCGTTAAAGAAGCAAAGTTCAACTTTTAAAGTGACTTTTAAGTGACTTCCTAAAAATACACAACATAAGTTTTGTGTACATGTACTTAAGTTACTTGCCTTTATGAGTTCCTTTTTAAATTCACCAAATGAAAAATTTATCAACACGCGGGGAAGTCTCGAGAAATTAAAAGACTAAACACGCCCATTCATCGCTGATGGCACATAAGAAGGACTACGAACGGTAAAATGACCGACCTGTTACGTTTTATCAGTCTGTAATAGCAGGCGCCTCTTAAATTTGCTTAAATGTTTACTGCTATTAGGTTTGTGGATAAAATATTCAGAGTTCAGAATATTC